GGAGCTTGAGCAGGACACAGAGTCCTGGGCTGCCCTCCGACCCCACCCTAACCCAGGCTTGCTGCTCTCTCCATAGAACGTGACGGCCAACCACCGGATCAATGACGCCCTTGCCAATGAGGATGGCCCCCAGGTCCTGACGGGCAGGTTTATGTACGGGCCCCTGGACATGGTCACCCTGACTGGGGAGAAGGTAACGACATGGGTAGGGGGAACACAGGGGGACTTTGGGGAGCTCCCTGATGCCCTCTGGCCAGGGTGCAAGGGGTGGGGAGGCCAGGACATGGCCAGCCCGTGACCAGCCTGCCGGGCCCAGGTGGATGTACACATCATGACGCAGCCACCCTCGGGTGAGTGGCTCTACCTGGACACGCTGGTGACCAACAGCAGCGGGCGTGTCTCCTACACCATTCCTGAGTCGCACCGCCTGGGCGTGGGTGTCTATCCCATCAAGATGGTAGTCAGGTACATGCCTGTGCTGGGTGGGCGAGGTGGGCAGGACAGAGCTCTGGGTGGTTCTGATGAATGTCCCCACCGTCTGCCAGGGGAGACCACACGTTTGCTGACAGCTACATCACTGTGCTGCCCAAGGGCACGGAGTTTGTGGTCTTCAGCATCGATGGCTCCTTTGCCGCCAGCGTGTCCATCATGGGCAGCGACCCCAAGGTGCGGGCCGGGGCCGTGGATGTGGTGCGGTGAGTGGCCTGAAGGGGCACAAAGGAGCTGTAGCAAGGTGGGTGAGCTCAGGGGCTCCCACCAGCCAGGTGGAGGAGGACGGGGGAGCCTCTCTAGGAGACGCTTGGCTAGGGCACTGGGCCTTGAGGACCTCAGTTCAGAGCCCGGCACCCCCAATTATTAGCCATGTCACCTTGGGCAAGTGATATCACCTCTCAATGTCAGCTTTCAATTCCCACCTCTGGAAAGTGAGGCTGGTAAGCCAGAGACACCGTGGCAGGGGCATCTGCCACCCAGTGCGAGCACCCAAGGGCCTGCCATGGCACCATCATTGTCACCATTGTCATTGTGACTGTCTGAGGTGTGCTTTCCAATGGCCAAGTGGGCCCTGGCTAGGCAGGAGACAGGGAGGCCCAGGAGGGAGGAAGTGGCGGCCGTGAGACACCCAGGCCTGCCCCTCACCTTCAGGCACTGGCAGGACCTGGGCTACCTCATCATCTACGTGACGGGACGGCCCGACATGCAGAAGCAGCGGGTGGTGGCGTGGTTGGCGCAGCACAACTTCCCCCATGGTGTGGTGTCCTTCTGTGATGGCCTGGTCCACGACCCGCTGCGGCACAAGGCCAACTTTTTGAAGCTGCTCATCTCTGAGGTGGGGCCCAGGAGGATGGGACCAGGGCAGTGGTGGGGGCAGAGGGGCCGTGGTGCCTGTGCCCATGCCAGTCTCCCCACAGCTGCACCTGCGTGTGCATGCGGCCTACGGCTCCACCAAGGACGTGGCGGTCTACAGCGCCATCAGCCTGTCCCCCATGCAGATCTACATTGTGGGCCGGCCCACCAAGAAGCTGCAGCAGCAGTGCCAGGTGAGTGGGCACATCATGGGGGCAGGCACAGGCGGGAAGCTCAGGGAGCCCCAGCCCATGACAGCCATCCTCACTGCCCCCACAGTTCATCACAGATGGCTACGCTGCCCACCTGGCACAGCTGAAGTACAGCCACCGGGCTCGGCCCGCCCGCAACACGGCCACCCGCATGGCGCTACGCAAGGGCAGCTTCGGCCTGCCCGGCCAGGGTGACTTCCTGCGCTCCCGGAACCACCTGCTCCGCACCATCTCAGCCCAGCCCAGTGGGCCCAGCCACCGGCACGAGCGGACGCAGAGCCAGGCAGATGGCGAGCAGCGGGGCCAGCGCAGCATGAGCATGGCAGCTGGCTGCTGGGGCCGCGCCATGACTGGCCGCCTGGAACCGGGATCGGCCACGGGCCCCAAGTAGGGCACCATGAGTGCAGCACGGGGTCTCCATGGTGCTAGGCCAGGGCGGCCAGCCCCGCCAGGAGGCCTGGCCTGGGTGCACACACAGACGTGGGCCTGGGAGCTTGTCCCAGGGCCTCGCAGAGGACATGGGCCATGCCACACAGTGCTCCCAGCCTTGCCTCACGTCCTCGGGTCTGACGGGTCCGGCTTGTTATGGAAGCTGGCAGGGACCACCAGCCAGCCCCAGGATGGCAGAGTGACCAGGAGTCCCCACTCAGACTGGCCTGGGAGGCTCTCCCAGACACTTTGTCCTGCGTGGATCTCCAAGTGTCCTGGTGCCAGGTGTGGGCCCAGGCCCAGCCTGCCGCCTCCCCATCCACTGGCCACCCTTACTCCCAGGTCCCTTCACATTTGGTAGCAGCTCCAACAGGGGTCCAGCCTGCATCTTGTTAACTCAAGTTTCTCAACTGTTCAACCTCACTGGTTTTGCACTGATTTTGAGAGCAGAGACCCATTACCACCTCCTATGGCTACAGACCCGTTGACATGCATGAAACTCAGTACCTGCTGACCCGGGACCTACAACCACACTGAAGGCTCCAGTGCAGCAGAGCCTCGTGCAAGCAGGAGAGAGGCCGTATCTTAATTTCTGCTCCCCGGACCCTGCCCACCTGCCCCAACTGGAGCCCAGGCCAGTGTTGTTGCTAGCCTCAGGCCGCGGGCTGGACAGGCCTGGCTGCCTCTTCTGTTCCCTGCCATCAGTCAAGGCCACCCACCCACGTTTCTACGCCTTTCTACTTCTCAATCTGATTTCTATGAGGTTTTTTAAAATGAGCAATCCTTGGCTGCTTCCTTTTCTTAACTCTTTCAGTACCGAGCACAGCCCCTCCACATTGAAAACACCCAGCACTGTGACGGAGTCCAGCCTGGTTCTGGGTCCCATGGGCCCTGCCCCTGCCCGCTCAACGAGGCATGGGCTCCTTGCCTCAACTGGCCCCTGGCGATCCCACTGAATTTCTACTCTGGAGTGGGTGGGGCACACACTTTGGTTTTTTTAACGCCAATTCCGTTTTGATGCCGAATCTAAGAAGCCACAACTTGCTTTGTCAGCTTCAGGGCAGGCAGCCACGACCTCATTTCTCGCCTGAGCAAGGACCACGCTGTCCTGCACGCTGGGTCTGACCGCCTGCCCTCTCCCCGCAGCGCTGGGCGTGACCTCAGCTGTGGCGCTCAGCAGCCAGCTCCAGTGGCCCCTCTGCTGCTCCTCCACTTTCCCTGAGGTGGGAGAGCCTGCCTGGCCTCAGCCTTCGTCCAGAGACCAGGGTCCGTCCCCAAGAAGCTGTGGCTGACCTGGGTCCAGCATCGGGCCACATGGACGGGGCTGGGGAGGTGCAGAGTGCTGTAAACTCTTTCCCATGTGTAGATATGTACAGCCAAAGGGTCGTGTAAATGTTCTGCAAAAGTGGGTCTATACAGAGTGAAAGCTATTTATTTTGTGCAGAGAAAAATGTCTGGAGGGATGGAACCTTCAGGGTTTATTCATATTTAAGATGTAGCTTTTTGTTGTTGTTTCAAGCATTATGTATAAAGCAACGATTATTTTATGGACCAAGTTTTCATGTACCTGTTGCAGTGAAAGTGCAATATCTGACCCCCCCGAAGTTGCTTGGCCCGACAATCACAGCCCCGGTCAGGGGCCCTGTGGCCAGTGCCGCCGCCTCCTCTCTCAGCCCCACCTCACCCTGTCCTGCCTGCTGCCTTGGTGACCAGCCATCCAGAGAAGCACCTGGAAGAGTCTCGGGCCCTCCTGCAATAAAGGCCGGGAGGCGCCGTGGGCAGTGAGCTCAGCCTCTCCCCAGGGGGCAGCTCCCCCACGGCTCCTTGCTCCCTGCCTGCCTGCCTAGCCGCCAGCCATGCCAAGGACAACAGCAATAGTCCCCTGGGGCTCTCCCAGCGGCCCTCAGCCATAGATGGCAAGGTGGGCAGCCCGCCCCCCACAGGAAGTCTCTTCTGTATCCAGGTCTGCTTTCCGCCTCCCTTCAGATTCCTTTTGGCACATTCTCTTCTGGAGGAAGCACCAGTCTTTCCGAAACTAACAGATACCAAAAATGTTTACAGTGTTGGGTGCTGAGCTGCAGGGCTCAGGCCTGACCAGTCATAACCAAAGGGTGAGGCAGGCCTTGCTGACTGCCACCCCCCAGGCCTGTTAGAATAGAAGCCTTAGTCCCACTCCCACCACGCCCCCAGGCCTAAGCCTCGCTGCCACCCCAGGCCCCACCACCTGCCTTCTCTTTGATTTCTAAAGAGGGATTCAGCAGAGACCCCTACCCCTGCCTGGCTCGGTTTGAGTCCTGCTGCCTGCCCCATCACAGCCTTCACGTCTCAGCCCCTCCCGTTGTCCGTGTGCTGTCTGTCTCTGAGCTATGTGTGAGCGGCGTCCTGACTCTCCCCACCCGCCCCTGCTGTCCCCGCATCATTGGGCCCGAGTGTGCTCTGTATACAGCGTCATGTCTGTTACACCGATTAAAGAAGCAGGAAGGCTTCCTTCTGGGTCTGTTTACTGAACTAGCGACCACAGGGCATGGTGGGGTGGGAGCATGTAACAGTAATGCCAGTGACCCCAACATATTCGTGCGGGGCTGACTCTGGGCCTCGCCTGCTTCTAACTCCTTCCTGGGCTTCAACTCAGTTTCTCCTCACAGACCCCCAGTAAAGTGGGTGCTGTGAACCTCTCTGCCTCAGTGGAGGACACAGCTGCGCAGAGGGGGCCAGGCCTCCCATACAGGCCACCCGGCCCCAGCACTTGTCTCTGCACTGTTGTGATCTGTGAACATGGCAGGGGGAGCCATCTCTCTCCAAGCCTGAGTGGGTTTGGGGTTCAGCTGGCATAGGGTCTGGTCCAGGTGCACTGACCTGAAGATGAGGAGAGCACAGGCCCTTAATGTGGCCTGTGCTTACTACAACCAGAGAACACCTGAGCTTTCCCCAAAAGCTGACGAAGCCCTTGTTTTTCCTTGGAAGTCACGTACCACCCTTCCCTCCCCCTCAGTACAAAAAGCCACAGAACAGAGAAAGTTTCAAACCAGGGAGACTTTAATAGCTGTGAAGCACTGCTCTTTCAGATGGGGGTGCTGAGCAGGCCAGTAACCCCATCCTCCACCCCCTGCCCCTGAGAAGAGGCTGGGCTGGGCCAGAGGCCAATCCATGGAGGAAAGGCCACCAGCACCCATCAGGCTTCCCATTGCCACCCTGAGGCCTGCCCAGGCTGGGCTGCCAGCACTGTCCACAGGCCTTAGCCAGCCAGGGCCCTCAGGGAAGCAACCCAGCTCGCATCTGGAAGGCCAGGCCGTCCCCTCGGGTGGCTTGCTGGGGAAAAAAGCACACAGGAGGAGGGGGACATCACAAACAGAGCTGGGGGTGGAGGGCAGGCAGAGGGGCCACACCCACCTTGTTGATCTCTCTGTGCCGATCTTTGGTTACGATTTCCTCTAGGACCTCGCCATCTCCCTTAATAAGCCTGAGGGTGGGAGGGTCTCCATTCAGCAAAGAATAGGCAGGTCCCCTAATGCCAGAGCAGCAAAACCAGAAGCAGCTGGCATAGGGGTCCCAGGGTTCCCGCCTGCTCTATCATCTTTGGGCATGGATGAAAACAGCCGAGGTGGGCTCTGCCTTGCCAGCCTCAGCCTGGCCAACAACAGCCCTTTTAAGAGCGTTCTCCAGGCCCTTCCAGCCTCTGCAACTGTTTACTCTGGGCAACGGGGAAGTAGGGCTGAGACACACCTCACAAGTGTCTTTTTGCCAACACTTGGCTTTTTTCAAGCAGCAGCAACCCCGCCCCGGCCCGGCTACTCCTGAAAGCACACATCTGAGGCCAACACTGCCAGACCCCAAGGTGTTAGCTCAGACCAAGGGCTCCCCACCTGGTGCGTCCCGTCTCGGGGTCCACCACCTTGCGGATGACACTCTGCCGGGCATCCCACTCCTCCTTGGTCATGGGCTTCATGGCCTGGATTCGGGACTTCTGCTCATCTGTCAGGACTGGAAGGGAAGATGGAGGTGGTGGCCAGGCCTCCAGGAGGGACCTTCTCCCTCTCAGGCTCTGGGCTGTACTGTACCTGGGCCATCCTCTTCCTCCCCAGCTGATCGGTGCCACTGGTCAAGTGAGGGACCCGGCAGAGCCTCCACCTGCTGTGCTTCCGCCTTCTCCTTGCCCTTCTTCTTCAGCTTCTTCCTCCTCTTCTTCTTCTTCTTCTTCCTCTTCTTGTCCTTGTGCTTCCCCCGCTTCTTCCGGCCACCACTGGAGGAAGAGGAGGAGGACGAGGAGGAAGAAGAGCTAGAAGAACTGGAAGAAGAGGAGGAGGAGCTGGATCGTGGTCTCCTCCGGGCCTTGTGCTTGCTTCTCTCTGTGATGCAGGGAGAAGGTGAGGCTGGAAGGCTGGGAGGGGAAGAAGTAAACCTTCGTCCCCTGCTCTGGCCTGGGGCAGGCAGTCTACAGGGTGAGCACCTCCTGCGGGGCTTTCCAGAGCAGAGATGGAGCTTCCTGGAGGAGTCCCTTCCCGGCTCCCGGGGCGCCTGGCCCTCACATCTCAGACCTGGCTGCACAGAGGCAAGACTGAGAGGCCCCGATCCCGGCTCGCCCCGACTTCCCCGGGAAGTGGCCACGCCTCCTCTCCCCGATGCCGGTGGTCCTCACCCTCCGCCCCAAGGGCCGCGCTGCCCTTGCGACCTTGGGATTCGGAGGCCGAGCAGTTCCTTGAGGCATCCTTCCTGCTCTTCTTCTTTCTCTTTTCCGACCCCCGCCCCCGGGACCGGCTGCGACTCCTCGAGCGCTTGCGGGAGCCCACGTGAGCCATGGCGCTACGGGCTGGCGACGGGAAGAACGCGCTTGAGCCAGGGCCCAGCAGGCCAACCGCGGGCGGGCTCTAGCGGTGGCTCTAGCGGGGCCGGGACCTCGCGGCGCCGGGTACCCGTCACCACCCTGGGAAAATGCGCGACCCTCACCCACCCCCACCGCTGGGGACCCCGGCTTCTCCGCCGACTCCAGTCCCCGCAGCGGCGCCTATTAAGGGCCCGCCCCCGCCCGGGCGCCCCACGCCTCCGCACCCGGCTCGGGGCCCGTGGGAACTGGCCGCCATCCGCCGCAAGTGGCGTCTGGGGCGCCTTCCCGCGCGCTCCTACCCACCAGCCCCGCGCCCCTCGCGGCCTCGCTGCCTCAAGGAGGCCCCCTTAGCTGTTCCACTCCCACCTCGGCCACCCTGCGGGCCGTACCGCCCGCCCCGCGTCTTCTGGAGAGGAAGCGGCGGCGAGAAGGCTTCCGGCCGGGGCGCTGCGCGGGAGGCTGTCCGGCCGGGAAGCGCGGCGTCACTCCCTTTCGTTCTGACGCCCCAGGTTCCCTTTCGGGCGTGCCCACCTGCTGCAGAGGCGAGCGTGGTCACCGGGGCGAGGCCGTGCTCTGCAGCCTGTCGCCGGCCCTCGAGCTCCGCAGCCCCTCACGTCTGTCTCTGCCGAAGCTTAGCCCACTTCCAAGGCTGTCCTCTCGACACGCGCCCGCAGCACTCGCGTCCCCGGTGCCCTGGGAAGAAGTCGACCCTTGCGCGCGCCGCCCTCCTCCCCCGCTGGTCCTGTCCTCTCCATCAAACTGCGAGCTCTGAGCTGAGGCGCCCTAGTCTTTCCGACGTACCCACCCAGTGATTCAGGGATCGCAAACTCGTGTCCGTAGGGGCCAGAGAGATCTTGGTCGTGAGCCGCGGGCATGGACCCCAGGCGCGTCCGGAGGGAAGCCGGGATTCCGCTCCGTCTGATCCGTGCAACATGGCAAGGGGCTAGCGCCCCACCTTCCCAGGGAGACCGAACTCAAGACTGCAGTATGGAAGCCCCTTGGTTTTCAAATGTGCAACCCAAAGCGTCGCTGTGGCTTCATCCGATCTCGGGCCCCCAAGGTGTAACTCTTTCAAAGTGGCAGCTGCAAACACAGAGGGCTCTTTGCAAAGCACTTTATTAACGTCTGCGCATTTGACTCTCAGAACAGCTCTAGGAGGTAGGTGCTCTCCACATGAGGAAACCAAGGCACCAAAAGGTGAAGGCTCACTCAAAGCCACACAAAGTGTGTAAGTGGCATAAGCAGAATGGGAACCTGGGCAGCCTGGCTCCCGGCCCTGCCATTCACCCCTCTGCCATCTAGAAGATGCTACTAGTGATCCACCCGAGTCCACTGGGGGTGATGCCTCTGCTGCCAAGAATTCACAACTGTGCTGTCTCTGGAGGCTTCCCTTGGCCACTGGAAGCCACCCTGCCCTGGAGATAAGTGTCTGGGAAGTTACTCATCCCTCCCTCACCCAGGAGCCACTAACCAATGCTGTGGGCACACTGCAGTACTGTGGGCTCTATCTGAAGCTCCCCGAGGGCCCAGCTGAGGCTGGACTTCCTCTGAAGCCACTTCCTTGCCCAGCTGCTCCCTGCCCTCCCCTGCTTTCCTCACTCCCTCACTGAAGCCTCATTCCAGACTCCACTTCCAACAAACCTGAACTAAAGCAGCCTGTTGACCCAGAGGATAACCCAGAATCTGGCACATCCTTGAACCAAGAAGTGCAGTAGGCTGCAGGGAGTTAATTTCTGCCGCCAGCCCGTGACAGAGCCCTCACCTGCCCTGCCACCCCCACACTGGGTCCAAGTAGGCTCAGGTGAGTGCACACACATCCACTGTGGCAGGCTCCTCTCGGGTGAAGCCATCACCGAAGCCCTCGTCGTCCACCAGATCAGGCGCACGGCAGCACATAGGACAGAGGCGGTTCCGCACAGCAGAGGCACGGAGCCAGATGATGAGGTTCCAGCGCTCTCCAGTGGCCAAGGGCCGGGCCCCGTGCAGCTGGCCACCCCGGTGCAGGATGCCCTGGCCTACCACGTGCTCCACCTCCAGGGGCTCTGTCAGGGCTGTGGGTGCCTGCAGATGGCATGGTTCAGGCCTGGGCCCTCACACTGCCCCAGGCCCTACCCCATGGGACACACACTCACCTGGAAGAGGCCCCCGAAATACAGGGCACCCCCTGTGAAGACCTTGCCCAGGGCCACATTGAGGGTGAGCTCGGCATTATCATAGTGGCAGCCCAGCTCGAGATCCTGGCCCAGTGCGTATTTGACCACAAAAGCCCGGTGGCTGTCGAGCTGGCCCCCGCCACAGTCAGGGTACAGCAGGGCCATCAGCGGCTGCAGGAAGCGCTCCCGCAGTGGGGTCACCAGCGGCTCGTCCAGCCCGAGCTCGTGCAGCAGCACCTGGGAGGGGATTCCTGGGGTCAGGAAAACTGGGAGGCTGCAACCCTGGGGTTCTGCTCTGCCTCAATCCCACTGTAACCTTATTTCGCAGCCTGGGCAGGCAGCCCATCTGTAGCACCTAACACACTGCCTCCTGACCGCAGCTGCCCCTCCTCTGGCCCGCTGGCCAGGCCTCACCCACCCCGTAGTTGTTCATGGTGTTGGGCCTCCCCTTGGGCATGTCAGACTGCTCGAAGTGCTCCAGCTCCTCCAGTAGGGCCTGGCAGAAGGGCGCTGTGAACACTGGCACCCGGTAGATGCGCTTCTCCTCTGTGGATGGAGGGACGGTCTGTTGGCCTGAATGCTGCCATGGGCTGGCCAGGCCTGGGCCTCAGTCTTCCTGTGAGCCGTGTGAGTCTGGGCGTCTGTTCACTGCCCACAGCCTCAGTTTCATCACCTGTGCCATGGGGATGAGGCTCTCGCTTCTCAGGGCTGTTGTGATTACTAAAGGAAGTAAGGTGAGGAACAGGGGAGGCCGACTCCCACGCCCTGCACTCATGCCTGCAACCTCTCCCCAGACTCCACAAGTGTCCACAGGGCTGGCCCCCAGAGCACTCAGATGGGTCCTGAGGTCCAGAGAGCAGAAGGCCAGTGACAGCCAAGTTGGGACCACAGAGCCAACTTCAGGCTCTCTCTGTACTTCCTTTCACCTGATGAGCCACCAACATCTGTACCCCACTCAGAAGTGGCTCTGGCAATCTGTTCCCCAGCAGGAAGGCCAGGAGGGGCTGCTCTCTCTTGCTGGGCCCTGGGAGAAGAAGCCAGGCTGAGAATGGAAACTAAACATTTTCTTGGCAGATGCACCAATTCCCAGGGATGCAGGGCTAGTGTGCCCCTCACGGGGCCACCTCACAGCCTGGGCCCTGCACCAGCCAAACAGCCTCAGCACGGTCTCAGCTGCCAGGGCATACAAGGCAATGAGGAAGGCACCCCTAGGCTGGGAGGGGGAGTTCATTCCACCCATGCCCTCAACAAAGCACAGGCTCCATGACGGGAAACTTGTATCTGTCTCCCACAGGATCCCCTAGCCCAGGGTATCAGTGCTAATAAGAATAGTGTGGGTCCTGTGGTAGGTACTCTATGCAGATTAACTCACTTGATCGTCACAGTGCGTTAAGAGAAGGGGTTACTGTTGCTCCCATTTTACAGATGAGGAAACTGAGTCACAGAGGTTAAACAACATGCAAGCCTCCCTTGCCCAGTATTTGTTGTTGGGCTTAGCCAATAGGGGAGCCCAGCAGAAAATCTGAATGTAAGAGGAGAAATAGGAAATTTCTTGCCCTCGCTGGAGTTTGGCATGGCTGTAGACCTCTGCCCAGAGCCACAGCTCCAGGTGGTAGCTGCTCCTTCCTGTTGCCAGCTCTGGGGGTGGGGCTTAGCCATTCCTTACTGGTCCCTTCTTTAAGATCTTGGATCAGCCCTGTTGGAGTGTGCCAGCTGTCCTGCCCATGACACAAATACCCACTATTTGCTGGATGAGCACATGAAGGAAGGCATGAAGGAAGGAATGAAGATACCAGGCTCATGGCAGGTACTGAATGAATGAATGAATGCAGATGTCCTTCTCCTGGCAGGTTGGTCCCACTGACCCTTCCAGCTCCTGCTGGTTCAGTTTTTGGAGGCGGAGATGGTGGCTGGAGGGACCCCCATCTCCCACACCTAGGTTTTCCAGGCCACCATCCCCCGGTCCTGCCAGGTCTCAGGGTTAGGACCTCACCAGATACTGTCTCCAGCCGCTGGAGAAGGCCCTTGAGGTCTGCGCCTGGGGATGCGCTGTACTCAGCCACAGCTAGAAACTCGGGAGCCAGAGCTGCATCCTGGGAGCAGAACATACCAGCTGTGGGGCAGGCAGCCCCGCAGCCCCGGATGCTACCTCCTCCTTCCAGTACCCAGACTTCAAGCACCCTGCCTGGCTGGTACCTGCAGTGAGTCATACACCTCAGGCCGTGCCACACGGTAGGAACTTGCAATGAGGGCTTTCCTAGCAGCTGACTCCAGCCCCAGCCGCCGCCGCCGCTCCACCTCCTGCTCAAGCTGGGGTGGCACAGGGTTGTTATCAGGTGGGGCCTCCCATCCTCCTGAGGCCACTGTACAGATGAAGATACTGAAGCCCAGGAATGCCAGACAGGGCCCAGCCTGGAAGCCAGGTCTAACCTAAACTCCTGAATCTATCTGGGTGGATTGCAAGTTGCAGACTGTTAGCTGAAGGGGACTTCTAGGAGACCCGTCCTGTTTCAGGCTGCCCCAACCTGAGCCTGGCTGGGATAAGAACCCCTGGATGTACCTCAACCAGCTGGGCCCACATAGGGGAGGGAAATGGTCATGGCCAAGTTCTGTGTTCCCAAGGCTGCTGAGAACTCTGCTGGGAAGCTTCCCACCACTGACTCCAGGGGAAGGAGAAGGAGGGAGCAAAGCAGCAGCCCTGGCACCAGTCTTCGGGGTATGTGGGAGTGTGAGGAGCCCAGGGGCCTGGAAGCCCTGGCTGGGTTCGCATCTGCTCCTGCTGTAAGAGCTTGGGCAAGGGATTCCTCTTTAAGCCTCAGCTTCTCCATCCAAAATGAGGGTGGTGCTTGTGCTTATCTCAAAGAGCTGTTCGGAGGGGCATGACTAGGCAACTTAACATTTCCCCTTCTCTCTCCTGCTGCCAAGACCCAGGTGTGGAGGAGCGAGTGGGGACAGGAAGGAGGAAAGTGAGGGCCTAAGTGATCCTTCAGGGGTCACGGACTGAGGCTAGAAGACCCCTCAAGCTGCTAACACAAATCTAACGAGGAGCTGCTGCGCAGGGGCAGGGGCCGGCACCTCAGCTAACAGCTGCTGGAAGTCCGTGGTGCTGACACAGCCTCGGCTGCGCAGGATCTGGAAGCAGAAAGAACACTGAGCATGACTGTGTGACCCTAGGAAGCCCCTTCACTCTCTAAGCCTCAGTTTCCCCTGCTTAAAATGGGGAGAGGAGCCCTGACGTCAAAGGATCATGGCGAGGATAAACTGCGGAACCTCGTTAAGCTCAGGGCAGGGCTCGGGCTGGTATTGCTATGAGGCGGCGTGCTGAGCCCGGCCCTGTCCCAAGCACCCTTTCCTTCCTCACGACCTCGCAGGGAAGTGAGAAAACTGAGGCACAGAGAGGCCGTCATTCTTGTATTTGAGGATGCGGTGCGCGCCGTGCGCAAAGCAAACGACCCTGGGGACGGACCGCCCTCCTCCACTGCCTCTCTCTGCCCACTGCTCCGCAGGGGCGACAGCGGCCACTCACCGGGCCGTAGTCCCGGCGCAGCTGCTGCTCGCCCCGAAAGCGCACGTGCAACCCATAGCGCGCCACGTACAAGTTCTCGGTGCAGAAACAGGCGCAGCGGCAGAAGCGCCGCGGAGCCCCCGCCGTCGCCATAGTGGAGCGCCCGCGGCCCTCCGGGCTGCCTTAGGGGCACTTCCGGGCACGCCTCCAACTGCGGGAGGCGCGGAACTGGAGGCCAAGGGGCCGCTCTATGTTCCAAAGGGCGGAAAAGAACGAAGGCGCACCTCGCCAGGAAACGGTCTGCGGACAGAGATGCTCCCGAGCCAGGGTGGGAACGGCGGCCTCCTGGTTCAGTCTCCCAGTTTTTCCACCACGAGGCAGGGACTAAGGGCCCCACTTTACAGACAGCTGAAATGGGTCACGCCTTCACAGGACGGGAAGAAGGAGGGACTCGGAACCCCGAGGCCTTTGACTTAAACGCCAGCCCCTCTTCTGCTCGGAGGTCGTGGAGAAGCAGCCGAGCCCACGAGGAAGGCTGAGACAGTTTAAACAGCTCAGAGGTCCCGCCGCTGCTTCAACCATCCTGCCCTGTGCGTTTGAGTTTGGATGTGGCATTTACCCCGGGTCCCTGCCTGGCGCTTCCGGTCCCTTCGTCACAGTCTCTTGGTTTACCTCAGATTGCCCCGTGAGTGTCTCCGCTAAAACGCCCCAACTCGCGCTACTTCCGGTGGTAGTCCCATAGGACGCGGGCGAGCGGGGTTCTCATTGCGGCCAACAAATGACCGAGCCTACTCTCTCCCCGGACCTTTGCTCAAGGATGGACCACCCACCCTACCTCCTTGCATCCCAGCAGCAGCAAACCTTTGAGCTAGGTGCCATTATAGTTCCCCACTGTGTTGCAGATGGGGAAACTGAGACCCAGAGAGGCACAGGGACCCGCCGCAGGTCACACATCCACAAAGGGACAAATACAGGGTTTGAACCGAACAGCCTGCCCTCTTGCGTTCCCCAGTTCATCACCACAGGGCTTCTGGGAGTGGTGGGGTTATGCGGGATTTGGGGTTTTGTTGTGCTTGTTGGCATTTTCTCACGGACTCTGCTGGAATACAGCTGGGCCTCCTGAAGCTACGAGGCTTCCCCCAGAAGGAGATTCACCCGTCAGCGACCTTCATCGACCTCAGGGGCCAGCTCCCCAGCCCAGCACTGCCCGCCTGAGAAGGTGTTTAAAGTTTTACGGTCGTCTCGATTGCCCAGTGATGGTGAGAGGCCCTGCTATCTAGGGAAGGATCCATTTCCCAGCTCAACGCTCATGACCCCACAACTGCCCTTTTTCCCCAGGAGGCCCAGGGCAGGTTAGCTCCCCATCCATCCACCAGGCAAGCCTGGCACGTACAGCACCCCACCCCACCCTACCCTCACTCGCTCTCCCTTTGCAGCAGTTTGCAAGATGAGCGTGTTCTGCTTATCAGTTATTTATTTATTTATTTATTGAGATGGCATTTCACCCAGCCTGGACTACAGTGGCGAAATCTCAGCTCATGGCAACCTCTCCCTCCCGGGTTCAAGCCATTCTCCTGCCTCAGTCTCCTGAGTAGCTGGGATTATAGGCATGCGCCACCACACCCAGCTAATTTTTGTATTTTTAGTAGAGCCGGGGTTTCTCCATGTTGGCCAGGCTGGTCTAGAACTGAGACCACCGAGCCCAGCCTGCTTATCAGTTTAGACTGGCCCTCTCCATGGACCCCCTCCTCCTTGCAGATACTCTAGGATCAGTCACCAAAGGGAGCAGCAGCAAGAAGAATATTTACCAGCAACCACTGAATCAACATGTGCTGCCAGCCAGCACTGACATATATCTTTGTTGACTGTTTAAGATACTATTATCCCCATTTTACAGACAAGGAAGCTGAGGCTCGTTGGGTACAGGAACCTATTTAGAGTCATAAACCTAGTGAGTAGCAGAACCAGAATTAGAACGCTCCAGAATTAAGAGTATCCTCATTCCAGAGTGGTATGTATATGTATATGTGAATATGTGTACAGGAATGTGCAATCATGTATATGTATGTATATATATACACATATTTTAAAAATTGACATAGAGGCCAGGCGTGGTGGCTCATGCTTGTAATCCCAGCACTTTGGGAGGCTGAGGCCAGCAGATCACCTGAGATCAGGAGTTCAAGACCAGCCTGGGCAACATGCTGGAAACCCCATGCCTACTAAAAATACAACAAAATTATCCGCTCAGGCTGGAGTGCAGTGGCAAGATCTTGGCTCACCGCAACCTCTGCCTCCCAAATTCAAGCGATTCTCCTGCCTCAGCCCCCCGAGTAGCTGGGACTACAGGCATGCATCACCACCCCAGCTAATTTTTGTATTTTTAGTAGAGATGAGCCACCCTCCTCAGCCTCCCAAAGTGCTGGGATTTACGGTGTGGGGCACTGTGCCTGGCCTGAACATTCTTTTTTATTATCATAACATGTACATAACAAAATTTAGCATTTTAAGCACTTTTAATAGATTTTCTTCTTTTTTTTTTTTTTTTTTAGATCAGTTTAGGTTCACAGCAAAATTGAGTGGCAAGTGCAGACAGTTCTCATAACCCCCTGTCCCCAATAGCACACACAGCTTCCCCCACCATCGTCATCCCACACCAGCCAGTATATTTGTTGTGGTCAATGAAACCACACTGAGACTTCATTGTCATTCAAAGTTGGTAGGTTACATTAGGATTCGTATATTCTATAGTTTTTTGGCCAGGCGGGGTGTCTCACACCTGTAATCCCAGCACTTTGGGAGGTCGAGGTGGGCAGATTACTTGAGCCCAGGAGTTTGAGACCAGCCTGGTCAACATGACAAAATCCTGTATCTACAAAAAATACGAAAATTAGCTGGGTATGGTAGCGTACCTGTGATCCCAGCTACTCAGGAGGCTGAAGTAGGAGCATCACTTGAACCGGGGAAGCAGAGGTTGCATGAGCTGAGATAGCGCCACTGCATCCCAGCCTGGGTGACAGAGCAAGACCCTGTCTCAAAAGAATCATATAAATTAAATAAATAAACACATTCTATAGAGCTGTTTGAGATGGAGTCCCACTCTGTCACCTAGGCTGGGCTACAGTGGCATGATCTCGGCTCACTGCATCCTCCACCTCCCGAGTTCAAGCGATTCTCCTGCCTCAGCCTTCTGAGTAGCTGGGCTTACCGGCATGCGCCACCACACCTGGCTAATTTTAAAATTATTTTTGGTAGAGACAGGGTTTCATTATGTTGGCCAGACTGGTCTTGAACTCCTGACCTCAGGTGATCCACCTACCTTGACCTCCCAAAACGCTGGGATTATGGGTGTGAGCTACTGCGCCCAGCCTATTCTATTGCTTTTGACGAATGTAAATGGCATGCATCTATCATTGTCATATAGAATAGTTTCACTGCCCTAAAAACCCTCTGTGCTCTGCCTACTCACCCCTTCCTCTTCA